CTGCCAGCCATGGGCCATCTGGACTACAGAATCATGGACAGCACTTAATATTATCCAGGGAGGCTTCTTGGGCAAAACCACACTACGAATTCAATTTCAGCCGCATGAAATTCAGGGGAAATGGTGCACTCAGCAACATCAGTGACCTTCCTTTTCTTACAGAAAACTCTGCCTTTCAAAAAATGGCACTTCAAACTAAACAGGATGGGAAAAAGGACGCGAGCCATTCGTCTCCTGTGGATTTAAAGATACCACAAGTTCGAGGCATGGACCTTTCATGGGAGTCCCGCACTGGTGACCAGTACAGCTATAGCTCTTTGGTAATGGGTTCACAAACGGAGAGCGCGCTTAGCAAAAAGTTAAGGGCTATCCTTCCAAAACAAAACAGGAGAAGTTTGCTGGATGCTGGACCAGATTCCTGGGGCTCAGATGCTGAGCAGTCTACCTCTGGACAGCCATATCCCACCTCAGATCAAGAGGGAGATCCTGGCTCCAAGCAACCTAGGAAGAAAAGAGGGAGATACAGACAGTACAACAGCGAGATACTGGAGGAAGCAATCTCTGTGGTTATGAGCGGGAAAATGAGTGTTTCCAAAGCTCAGAGTATTTATGGGATCCCCCACAGTACACTGGAGTACAAAGTTAAAGAGAGGCTGGGCACTTTGAAAAACCCTCCAAAGAAAAAAATGAAATTAATGAGGTCGGAGGGGCAGGATGTTTCAGTAAAGATTGAATTAGATCCCCAGGGAGAAGCAGCACAAAGTGCAAATGAATTGAAAGATGAGTAGGGATGTTGTAGAGTGCCAATTACTTTGCAAACTGGGTGAGCACTACTGCATAGTTCAACCACCACTGAGCGCACCTGATTCTCCTATTTGCTGCAATGCTCTTTCCTTTGCAGTTTAGCATAGACTTGTGTGGACACAGGTGAAAGGTGTGCTCTGAATGTCACATTGTAAATTTTTCTAGCCTGGTGTGGCGCAGTTTCCCTCATTCACCTGCCCACTACCGCCCCCCCCCCCCCCTTTTTTTTTTTGCGTGTTTCTCTGTAATAGAGAGTTGAGTTACCTCACAAAGAATGCAGATCTGTGGAAGTGGACATCTTGCCTGTAGAGCCTGCCTGAACTTCTGGTGTTGGATTTTTCTTGTCTGCTGTTATAGAAATAAGTCCACTCTGTTAAACTGATACTCTCTTAAAACCAGACTTTTTTTGAATGAGAATCAGACTGTCATTCTTCAAAATGTTTCAGAAATCTTTTTTCCCCTCCTTTTCTTTGATCCAGTTGATTGAAAGATCCAAGCTAAATCAAGTTATTTAGGAATGGTACCTCTCTTGAACTCAGAGATTTGTTTATTAGATGGATAATCAATTGGGTCTAATTAGGCTCTCCACTATTTTCTTTCTAAATTAAACATACTTACCATTCACTGTCTGCTTAGTGCTCACCCGGAGGGGAGGGGAGGGAAAACATACATACACTACCTTCAGAATATGTCAGTTAATTATTTGTAACACTACCTTCGCTGTAATTTTGTTTGATATTTTTGAAGGGTGATATTTAGACTCACCTGCTTGAGGATGTAGCCTTATCTCACGGAAGACAAGCTTCTCAGTCAGGAGCAGTCAGGGTACACTAAATGATGTATTAGGGTATGCCTCATTATAACAGAACTATGGTTCTTTGTGACCTTTATGCTTTTTACAGACTTGATTCTGAGTTTACTAAACTATGTGGTTCCAACAACTAGTTTAAATGACTCTAATCTGGGGAAGGGGGATTTGTGTAACAAACTACTGTGATATTACAAAAAAGAAAAAAAAAAAAAGAAAAAAGGAAAAAAAAAAAGCCCACAGAACAGTGATCTCAAACGTTACAACCTCAGTAGTCTGCCCAAATATCCACATTAGTGAAGGAGCTTGTTAATGTTCAGGGAAGAAGTAAAACACTGGTAGCCTGATCTAATTCAGGCTCTGCATCATATCTATCTGTAATACTGTCAGGGTCGAACACTCAATGAATGGGTGTTTCCTTTTTAAATATTACAGTTGCCAGTAGCAGGAATTAATCTAAGTCCTGCTTTTTTGTTGTTGTTTTTATTTAATCTATTTTGATAGTGGTTTAGCACATGCTAGAATAAGCATTTAAACACCGTAAAAGCACTCCGTAAACCACAAATCCAGTTTTTTTCAATATGATGATATCATTATCATTATATGGAGATCCAGGATAAGTTTTATACAGAACTTTTATCTTTGATACTTTCTGCAGGAGTGGTCAGTAACTAGGTGGAGCTTACTGGATTTACCACAATATGACCAAATCAGAATTGCTGGTTCTTCAGGTAGAAACAATTTGGTCTTAATCTGTGCAAAAGGTAGATAGAATTACCATTTTTTTCCCATTTGCACAACCAAAAGAAGCGTTGGAGTTTTTGTGTGAGAGCATTAAGTGATGTCAGTGATTGAAAGTGGTTTCTCAGAGTTCATGGGAGGGTGGCCTAGATAGCCCTAGGGATGCTGAATGACTTCTGAAACAGTTGATCCTATTAGCCTCTCCCCCTCCCCAGCAACTTCGTATTTTCAAAGGTTAGGCACACCATTGCTGTAATTAAAATATGCACTGCTCATTCTTGAAACGGACTGGGCATTTGGCCCCAAGTAGACTTTGTTTTTGTTTACTTAATATATTTTAGTACTCAAAATCCTGGTTCCTCTTAGCTCTCTAGTTGTCATCTTGGCATTTAAAGCAGTTTAAGCTCAGTAGCAGTATATAAACTCTGCAATACGTTCCAGTTTAGCTGGTGATTGCAATAAAGGTGCAGTTAAACATGTGGTTTCATCTGCTGTTAGAGGTTATGGTAGAAAGTTTGCTGCAAGTTTAAAAAAAAAAAACAAACACAGTTTTACTGTTCAGAGAGGTTTAACCTTTTGCAGTTGTCTTTATTTAAGCAACATGAGTTGAGTTTTATAGAACTTGTCACTGTAGTGTATGTGAAGTGCTCATTTTACTAACCTAAATATTTTGTATGTGTACGTTTAAGTGGGTGACAATCGTGCAGCAGAAGAATGGTGTGCCTACCCTTTAATGCTGCAGTTTTAAAAGAGAATTTGTCTTGTCATTTCAGACTGTAGGCTAAGAATTGTAAATAGATAGTGAGAAGTTGAGTACTCTTTATTTGCTTTGGTTAGAAAGTGGATTTAAAAAAGAAAAAAAACCCAACAAACCAAACGCGTAACTTTCTCAGTTTAAATGTCCTGAGACCTGAAGATTGTAGTAGTCATGTCTGCAAAGCTTTTAAACACAACACTTGATCTGTGATAACTTAATATTCAGGTAATCTTTCTTTTTCGAGAAGCTTTTGAACAACCATATTTCCTCCAAAGGTCTCTGTTTAAAAAGGAAAAAAAAGAAAAAAGTGTAGACTATTTTTTAAGCACTAATTGCATTACGTTGGTAACTGCAATATAAAATAGCCATTATTGTTTTGTGAAGCATGGTTGAGATTAGTTAGTGGTCCCTTTTTAAAATTTCATGAGCCTCTCAAAAAATAAAAACAAATTTAAAAAAAAGCTGCTGAATATTCAAAAGATATATATTTTACCTTATTGTAGGTTTTGTAAATTTAGTCTGTAATATTCAGGTGCACCTTTTAATGTTAACTTTTTGTTTCAAAGTCCCATCTAATGTATTTTCTCTGAGGTGATTCATCACGTAAGACTAGTATCACTCTAAGTGCTGCAGTGATCACTGATGTTTTGTTTCATTTTTCACTACATATTTTTTACAGGCGCTTTCAATGTAGCTAACTAGTAGTATTTGGGATCATTTTAAATATATGATTGGAATTAATGTTTGTCCATTAGCATGCTTAATTTTTTGCTGACCAGCAGTTTGCATGGCCAAAATCCCTGGTTGACCATATTTTGGTGTGGGAAGGTGTGGTTCACTGCTGTCTTTGTAACAAAAACCTTGTTTCTCATGTTATTTCTGGTAAGTGGATGCTTATGTTACTTGGATCACTTGGACAGGAGAGAAGGTTTAAAATCTTTCTCCTGCTGCTCTTTTGAGATCACATTAACGTGTAACATAGACAAACTGCAACCCTGTAAAAATCGAGACGTCGTTAGGAGGAGGCCTTTCGGGTATTTTTTGTCACTAGTTTTCTCTTATTCCTGAGAATGTCCATCCGATGTAGTTATTGGACTTAACAGTATTGTTGTGTACTACGTTGATGTAGCTGAAAAGCCTGACAGCAAGAAACTGTGAATAATATTTGTGGCAGTCTCTGAAAACTAGTTTTTCAGTCCAAGTATCATGAAGGAGAATCCCTCTCCCCTACCCCATCCTAGAAAAGTAATTTTATATTTTGTGTGTATAAAGTTTTAAGAATCAAGTTTCATATTGTACTGAAGTTTAGGTGTCGCTTGGTAAATCTTTGCTGCAGCATATAATTGAAGATGAGTAAGGCTTAGTGTGGTAGGGGTCCTGGTGTGGAGTTAATTATCGTACAGTTCTGGTGAGAAAGCCCAACATGTATGAAATGTGTCCTTTTTTTTATTTGGACTTGTAAGATGTAAAAGTGCTTTTTTAGAACTCTGACCTATTACAAACTATTACCTCACTTTCAGCCAGCTGGATCCTCATTCCACAGTGTTGTAGGCGTTATTGTGGCCGTAATGCTTGAGTACAGCTATAGAGTTGAACGTTTCCAGTTAGTTATTGTAGGGACACGTTTCTGGACTCGTTTTTACTTCTGTCAAAAGATATTTTATTTTCCAGTCATTCCCTGGGGTTTTGGTTGTTTTGGTTTGTTTTTTTTTTTTTTTTTAAAAGGCTCAATACAGTTTCCTTTAGAATTTCTCATTTTACCCTGTTACGCAGGAGAAGTTGCTGCATAAGCAATACAGGTATGCCTTTACTTTCTTCTTGTTGCAGAACTCATAATTTGATGCTTGCATTACCAACCCTATTGCTGGACCTGAAGTTGCACTCTGAATTTTCATGGCAATTGAAAAACAAATGATTTTTAACAAATGCAGGTGTACAGGTAGGATAGTGCCTCTAGTCACGAACACATTCAGCTTCTGTGTTCTCAAGGAACTCCTATACCACCTTTTTTGTAGAGCTTTCCAGTGCTCAAGGATATTCCTAAACCTGGGAGGCAACTGCACGTGTGTTTAGACCGGTTGAGAGCAGACAAGGAATAGTCTGTGCTTTGTCTTGTGGCAGGCCGACATTTGAGTCTAAATATTTCTTTCATGAGAATCTAAGAGTACATTGCCTTCCTCTGGAAATTCACTGGAGCTGGCAAACCGATTCAGGGACTTTAGGGTTGAGTAAGCTTTGTATAGATTGGAACAACTTTTTAGTTCTGATTGAATTGTTTTTTATATCATCTGCAATGATTGTTATACAGGCAAAACTGGAATTATCATGTGTTTCTTCCAGTTTACTTTGAAGTAATGCTCTTAAGATGTCCTTGAGTCTTAGGAGAAGAACACAGTGTCCAAGGAGTGAAGGGAACACTGTGCCGTTCCCTTGTTTCTCAAAAACAGTGCGGCTACATCTGTAATGTAAAGAGCTCTTTCTCCAGTGAAGACAAAATTTTAACTCTTCAGTGTAAGAATGCATATACTTGTTGCAGTCCAAACTCTCATGAAGTCAAACTTATTAACCTGTACTGAAAGCTTTGTCACAATATTTTAAATATCTTAAATTCTCTGCCAAATGTTAGAGGTGGAACAGGAAGGGTTCTTTCCCTCATTTTCATGAGGATCAGAAACTTCTAGGTTTTCCCCACAAATGTTTTGGAAACTAAATGTAATTTCAGTCTAGGTCAATGTTGCTTTTTCTTGGCGGCAGTAGAAAATATTGACTAATGCTGCTTTAAAAAGCTGTACCTAAAAACATTTTGAGACTAGTTTTGCTATTATAAAGGTTTCCACTTGATCTCGAATTACCTAAAAAAACTCTGTAATTAGAACCTTCAGAAACCTGAAAATCTGCGCTGCTAGTTACATGCAGTTCTGGTGGATGTAGCAAATACAATAACCGCTACAATTATTCATTTCTAATTATCTGTATCTAATTATAAACACGATGTACTGTGGTGATCACTAAGCAGAGAGATATTGCAGACTCAAAATGATCTGTAGATGCACTCCACATGTACCAGAAAAAACTGTTAAGTAGTTACAGCATTCCAGTGTCCGTCTCTCTCCCTCTCTCCTGTTCTTGCGTTGATTGGGGCCAAGCCGCTATACCAGTATTAGAGCAGCAGTTTTGGACTTCATTTCCCATCAAATTATGCCCATATTCAGGTATTGTCGTGAAAACCTTCATATTAAGAGAGCTTTATTTAATCGTCACAAAAATCTCTTAGCCCGGTTGCAAAATCAGTTTTCCTGGGTGACATACTAGGAGGAAGGATTTTTTTTGGCCTGTCCAGGGCATTTCATTC